GATTTCTTCACACATCTCCAATGGTAACAATTCCCATAAATGGGCGGTTTTCTCCAAATGGCGATCAACCCTACTCAGTATCATGTCTAAATTCTTCGATTTCCCGTTGGATCTTGTACTACGAGGTATACCATTTTGGATGGTTGTTTTAAAATTGACAGCGACATCTCGTTTTTCTCTAAATTCTGGTGTGCCACAACTATGAGTGGACTGAAATACATAGTAATGTAACAACGTCTAGTTAATCTAGTGATAACAAAATATCGTCACAGTAAACACGAATTCACAATCACATGGCAAGTCTACCATTTTAAAACTCGTACAGCTGATTATAACATTTAAGTGTGTTTATTCAGGGTTGAAATGAAATACAAGCAACTCGTGTTCACGCGATGACGCTCAGGGCAATTGCCAAATACACAATAGCTTACAAAACATTCGAAAGATCGCTAGATATGACTGTCTAACCATTTAGTAAGTCTATAGTTGAAAAACTCGTTTTTCAGCTTGAACGCTGCAGTTTGAGCCGACTTGCAATATCACACTACAGAGCATGGTACTGCACATTTATGCAATATATTATGAAGACAACTTTCCATGTATACGAACAACATTATAATACTGAAAACTGAATAAAAGATACGTAAATTTTGTCGATGTCAATTTTATCTCACGTAACTGAAACAAAGTGTGAGAAATCTTCATATCACCGTTGAAATCAGTGTAAAATTTGAACACAAATTATTCAGCAATGGCCGCGCACGATAAAAGTGAATTTGCTTATCTGAAAGCTGCAACACTATATGCATATGTAAATGTTAAAATGATTTTATGATAATGAGACAGACTAGTTTTAGCCAACTGATACAAGTACTGTCAGCGAGGATTCTGATCATGATATGCGTTGCGTCCAAGGTGATGGCAGTGTAGTATATATAAACCCAAATTATAGAAATCGTTGTATTAAAATAAATATTGTCACTCACAGATTCCCAAAATATACGGGTTAATTCTTCTTGTAAATTCATAATTGAATCAGATATACGTATAGCAACAGTCTGCACCAACGATTGCAGGTTGTATTGAGTTGACATTCTGTCTGATAGTGCCACCATTTTCTCTGAAATCAAAAAAGTGTAAAATATTAACACACTGCAGTACAAAGATATTTTTTTTTTTGTATTATATTATAAACCATTATCATAACCATTCTAAACATAAACAGCTGCTCCAACAATCACTTCGACAACAATTCACTCTCGTCTCCTACGTATCTAGACAATAAACTGAATTCGAAAACAATTCTACCGTGATTATTAATTTATGTTGTCCAGATGGTTCATGAAGCAGATCTGAATCCGAAACTAAACCCGCTATACATTTTTTGCTCGTTATTGCTTTTGTAAAAGTTGGTTTTAGACAATTTATACGAAGATGACAGTGAAACAGAACACCACTTATTTCCCTTAAAAAAATATTTATAAACTAGTTAATTGTTCATTGATTAATTAACTGGGCGGAAATTTGTAATCACGGCGGAAATGAACTTATTACCGGTACTAACAGCCACACAATGTCCCCATATATTCATGTATATCAGCCGAAGCGAAAAAAAACACAGTGAATGCCTAAAGATGTTGTTCTATATAGAAAACCTCAAGGGATAACTAAAAAAATGCCCGGATCAACAGTATAGATGTACACTAATTAGAAATGTTACAGGAATAAAAAAAAGCGAAGCATTAATGTTGTACGTGACAGGGATTTGATTGCATGTCCACTGCATTCATACATTTCTGTGTTTTTTTAATTAGTTGACTTCCAAAATAGTGTAGATTTCACATAATTACAAGTGAATAATTTAATTTTAAATGACACAAACAAGTTGGACAATAACTCCAAGTAAGTAGTCGGGTAATACATAAATGATAGGATTTTTTGACTGCGTAATCGGCTCATTTCAACAATGACAATCGGTCTCAGTCCAATCACTTCTGGGATTATCCATCAATCTGATTAAAATCTGATGTAGTGTACGGGCTTTAATTATTTTGGCTATAAACTTATTTTAATTTTATTTTTTATTATATTTGTTATTGATGCCCTTTTATTTTATTATTTTACTTTGATTTTGAGATTTTTTTTTTAATTCCGCCCTACCAACATCTGATCCGACGCCTATGTAAGTCCCGTTCAAATTTTGCGTAAGTAACAGCCAATCACAGCCCCCCTTTTATACAGGCTGTCGGTTGCTTACTTTTCAGTGTATACGGGCAATCTTTCTGTAAATTATATTTTGCCCACTTGAATAAACCATTAATAGAAAATTGCTAGTATATTTTTATTTGCAAAAGAAATTCCACAGCATTTTACAATTTTTGTCATTACATTGAATATTTTTTTCACTTCCAACAAATGTGTACACTTCCAGATACATCTTCGCCAGCCAAGGTTCGTTCATTCAGTCATCGCTTCAATTTTACATCACTGAGCATAATTATCTAGAATGGAAGCAAAAAAATAAGTAAATCGTAATGATTAGAACACTGTAAACAGCTATAGTAAACTATGCAAACTGATTTTAAATTGTATAACGGTCACCGGCCCACGGCATCGACGCAGACTAAATTGGAGCAAACAAATATTTTCTGATCAATTGCGATGTGTTCCAAATAAAAAATATTTTATTCCAGTCCAAATCAGCTCAATTACTTTAATAAAGAGTTATTGTATAATGTACAAAATGTTGATACAATTTGATGAATATTTACAGCTTCAATACCGTAGACGATTTTGGCCCGATCGTCAACAAAACATCATCCGTCTCCA